GAGACTGCATGCCTTTTCCATGCACACTTGCAAAGCAAGGAATATATTCACCATAGCCAGGACAAGGTAACAAGGCGTTCTCCTTAGTCCCCTTCTCAATCAGGGATTCGAAATAGCTGTGAAACATATGTGTACAGTCTAACTTTTCTGTTGATAGACTAGACTGCCTTCAGAAAACTGTAAAATATACAAACCTCAGACTGATTTCTTATTGTGACGCTCTGAAGCCAGACAGCCTGGGTTCATTCCTGGCTTAGCCCCTGAGCACCTATGTAACCTTGGGCAAGCTGCTTTAGGCTCTCTGAGCCTCTGTTCCCTCTCCGTAAAGTGGGTATGACAATAATATTTGCCTCATAAAGTTATAAGGATGAAATGATTTAACATGTATAAAGTGCCTAGAGCAGCATCTGCCATGGGGACCTATAGACCTGTGAGCTGTTACTGAAAACTTTGTCCTGAATTTGGAGCCATCCATGCATATTGCAATCTTGGTCTGTCACCCATTGTATTTTTCACTGTGGTAAAAACTGCTTTTGAATACGCAGTAACAGGAGGGGTTAAAAATCCTCAAAATTGGCTTTAATGGATGATTAAGGTACTCCCTTGCGCAAAAACCTTCTTCGAAATGGGCTACACGTTCAGTGTCTGCTGCCAGAGATGCCCCCCAGCTCTCCCTGTCCTTGTGCTGCCCTTCTCACTCCCTGGCCTCACCACTTCCATCCCTGAGCCTGGACGTATTCAAATGTCCCTCCTCTATAGAGCCCTGTTTTCAGGGCCCCTCCACCATGAAGCCCTCCTTGACCAATGCTAACGGAAGCAACAGCTGCTGGTTCTGATGCTGCATTAGGGTCTGCCGTGTTCATTTTCATCTGCCACAGCCTTGAACTTCATGAGGCCACTGGCCTCTTGGGTCAATGAGTGATCCCACCATCAATGTCACCCCATTCCTCCAGGCAAAGAGTGGGGTTCTCATGTGTTTAGCTTTCTCACAGAGCCTACATCCAGCTGTGTGTGCACACACTTGATACATATTTCCCATTTTGACATGCAGTGGGATAAGGCTTAATTACCTATAACTATAAAATAGGGATAATAGGCCGGGCGTGGTGGCTCATGCCTGTAATCCCAGCACATTGGGAGGCTGAGGCAGGCAGATCACCTGAGGTCAGGAGTTCGAGACCAGCCTGGCCAACATGGTGAAACCCTGTCTTTACTAAAAACACAAAAAAATTAGCTGGGCATGGTGGTGGACGCCTGTAATCCCAGATACTTGGGAAGCTGAGGTTGGAGAATCGCCTGAACCTGGGAGGCAAAGGTTGCAGTAAGCCGAGATCGTGCCATTGTACTCCTGCTTGGGCGACAGAGCGAGACTCCCTCTCAAAAAAAAAAAAAAAAAAAAAAAAAAAAGGATAATAATGGTACTTCCCTCACTGAGCAGTTCTAAGGACTCAGCCAAGTTAGATGTTAAGTGCTTACAACAGTGTCTGGATATAGAAAGTATCCTAGAAGCGTGTGTTAGGTAAGGACACACAAAACTCCTGCGGCAGCCTACGGTCCCCAACAGCAGCCTATGGGTGCTCTACCCAAGTACCCACAAGTTAAGAGACAGCCCCTTCCCCTCCATGTCCCCCCACCCCCCGCACCCTAGTCCCAGCCCCAGGCCTACCTTGCGTTTCCTCTTGGATTTTGGCAAAGCCTTTTCTGCAGCTGTGTCTGAGGTGTGGCTGGGCGGCACGCTCTCAGAGTCCTTGGTGGCAGGAGCGCTCAAGACCCCTGGTTCCTGCGGCAGGTGCTCCGGGATCCTGGACAGGAGGGTCAGGTCGATTTTGACCCAGAGAGACCTGACCTCATCACTGTCCTTTAGAGGGGACAGAAGTTCGTTCCGGCCAAAGGGGACCAGGGTGTAGAACTGCTCCTCCAGCTCCTTGGCGATGTCACTGGTGGTCCTGGCGTTGATGGAGCCTACAGGGGCCCTGGGACCATTGCCCCCGTTGGCAGCGGCCTCCTTCAGCCTCTGATCATTCCCGGAGGAGGCAGAGGCAGCCACAGTCTGTGCTTTGGACAGAGGGTACTCCTCCTGCTCGGACTCCAGGTCGGAGTCCGAGGAGGAGGACGACGATGACGACTCTGTCTCAATGAACTCCTTGGATTTGGGGACGATCCTGCTCAGCCCCCGCGTGCGGCGCTTCTCGCAGGTCACGGAGGAGCGCAGCTCCTTGCGGTGGCTCGCTCTGTTGTTGCCACAGGGCCTGGTTTTGGTGGGCTCCGGGGGGACCACCACGCTTGTCCCCAGCGCGTCCGGGGCCGC